ACATCCGTGAGTAATAACGCACATTATTATCATTGTTATTTTCTCTTTGTGAAGTTATTCAAAACATTCTGTAAAAATCCTATGGGGCATGATAAGCTTTAGCTTCGTTAAACCGCCCAGAATAAAACTTTGACTTTAGGAGAATCAGCTGTCACTTCAAATGAATCCTTTTTGACATCATGTGGATTCAACCAGTCACATTCTACTGGGAACTCCACAACGTAATTGCTGAGTTAACCCTCACACGTCGCGATGGGACCAGACCTATCAGAACACCACTCAGTCAAAACGGACTACTTTATCTCAGACAAACAAAATAACTTTTTGAGTGAGTTAACGAGGAAGGATAAAGTTTTCGGTGAGGTGGGGTTTGATTTTTTGTCCCCCAACCCGTTGATCGAGTGAGCTTTAGACAAAAATGGACGAACCCGGTGGTACATTGGACCGTACCGGTAGATCGGCGGTGTCATGGTACTTCAATAACCGCCGGAGGAACCTGCAAGTATTCTGGTTTATCTGATCGTAATCTGGTTGCGAACGGGCTACGAGACTCATTGGTGGTTCATCACGACTGACTTTATTTGGTTCAATCGCATAATCAATTCTTATTCGCGGGTCAATTAAAATTTGTTTATCTTATGCCATTATTTAAAATCTATCATTTTGGAATGAGAATGTATCCAAAGAACTATAAAATCATCACGGGACAACATTCCCAATATTTTCCAAAATTAAAAAGAAATTTCTAGAGAGTGTCTACAAGACATTTGGCTATCCAATATAATTTTATAAGAGGCAAACACACTGTTGACAAAGTATTGAAAATCGGTTATTGTAAGTTGGATGAACTGAATTCTATTTCGCCTGTTCGCCGAGCTTGGAAAGTTGTTTGCAAACGTTTCATCACCAGCAGAGGTGACCTCATCAGTGCTTATGAAGTGGCAGTGTGCTACTTGTACCCGTTCTCCACGGAATAGTTTTGTCCCATGTTCTCACTGTGTTCGACTCGGTTCGCCATTAAACTGGTGTGAGGGTGCGGGTTGTTCTTCCGTTCTGATTGCGGTTTTGATCTGTTCTCAAGTCACAGTATGGCCATCTTGTTGCTTCATTTCATCCCGGAATTGCATTGGCGTGTACATGTGATCCAGTTCGATATGCCTGTTTATTGAATTGATTGAAGAGTGCCAAGCCTCCTGAAATTACCTGGCGTGTTTTGATCGGACCTGGTCCATAATTTTCACCTATTCGAAGTCAAACGATGCCCTTCTTGGAGGGAAATCAACGATAGTGGGTCATGTCTTCTGAAGTCGACTGATGTTTACCGATTCTTATTCGTAGTTTTCTTCCAGTTTGTCCTACATAATGTTTTGGGCTGTTCTTGCAGTTTATTTTGTAGATAACATTGCTCTTTTCCTTCTCCATTGTTCTCTCTTTGGTTTTTGACAGAAGTCCCCTCAAACAGGCGATAGGTTTATAGGCAAGTTGGATTCCATGTGATCTGAGCAATTTTGTTGTCATCTCCGAAAAGCCCATGATTTATGGCAGGGTCGTTCTCGTTCCCGATTCTGCGTCTGTTGTTCGTTTTCTTTCTCTAGTCACCCTACTCACAAGTAGTTGTAGTATAAATGGAGACGAAAAACGTATCGATATCCTGGACTATGAAGAGGGAATAAACCGGACAATTCACAAAATCCATGAAAAATCTCGACCATGTAGCTCACGAAAATCCGCGGTTCAAGTCCTGACATGGATGCAAAAAAAGTACGCACTGCTGAGTTCCAAACAGGACGAAACGGCTGTCCAGTGCTCTTTGTTGGTCATCACAAAGATTTCCATCGAACACTTTCCGTTTTTTATTACCGAAAGAATAACACCTAAAAGCATTTTCCTTAAATTTGAATAAAATTTGCCAAGCCAGTCTATCATGTGAGCTGTATTTGGAGATATATTAATTCAGATTCGCATCAAACGAGTTCTTTATTAATGTGCATTTTTGTTGAACTGCTCCAGTCTGATTAATCGAATACTAAAATGGGGTTTAAAGACTTAGTACAGTACATTATGAAGAGCAAAAAGTAATAAACGATATATCGATAAGTGCTTGAAATCCCTTTCAAGTTCCTACGCCCTTCGCGTGCGAAGATAGCTGCATCCATCTGTTCCCGGTCAGCGAGCAGTCTGAACTGGAGTACGCGGACGACATCGTTCTGCCGGGTGACGATCCAAGGACACAGTAAACTTTGCGGATGGTTTGTTTGTTGGGTAAGCTATGTTCTGCATACATTTCACACCTCCAAAGTGTAAAATATTGTTACAGAACTGGTTTGGTGCAGTTCCGACATCACTCTAACTGGGAAAGCAACAGATAAGGTAGACGCAGTTTACCAGGTTTATCTCAGCTGGGGGACGAATCTCGGATAAAGCTTCGGAAAACACGCAGTAGACTCGGTTTGTGTTGCACTATTTGGGACACCTTTCACATTACTAAGACTTTCGGTTGTCTGTGAAAGGTTGAATGTACGTTGTAAGTGTTCGAATGATTTTTTTGTTTGGTGCAGCGACATGTGTTAAGAAACAAATAAAGGCTGTTTACCTCTGAGCGCTGCTCTCTAAGACGAGTTGCACGAGTGTGGTGAGAGACGAGTTTGAGGTAGTTGTGGTCGCGCAAAACCGGTCAGATCTTCTATCGGATCAAAATTAGTGTTTGACTTTAATCGACGATGGTACACATTCACTGATTTTCTGGACCTATTAGCATTAGAGATAACTCAGTCGTAAATAGAGCGATGACCAAATATTTTTGTCCACACATCTAGATGTTTCTAATGGGAATTCGTCGTCTATATAGCAAGCGTGCTACCCACTACGCCACTGGGCAGCTAATCAGACCGTTTTTCATTTTCCATTTACACGATATAGCACAACCCATCTTTGAAAGTTTGTTGCGGGCCACGGACCCTGCTCAACTCAGCACTAGCCTCCAGGGTTATGACTCGGTTGGAAACATTCACGACCTGACTGATGTCCTAGATGTCCTAACACAACAACTGAGCAAAATCTTTTCATTGTGCGATTAAAATCAAATCGAGCACTGCTCATCAGAACTTCTATGGATTGAANATTCTCACTAATGTGTCTATAATAATTAAAATAATAATACACCTAATATGCCAATTCCCAACAGATACCTTGGCAAACTTGAATGGCGAAAAGTTCTGTTCGATTACATGGAAAAATTCCTTGAAACTAGCCGTATATCTACTGCTTTCATGTAACAAAAGGTCAAGTACAGAACGTTACTCGCTGAGCAATAAACTAGGAGGCTAGTGTCAAGATGAGTGACATCAAACACAGGCAACAGGCATGTAAAGATGACTTTTCATGTATCGTGCACAGACCGGGTGAAACAGTTTGATAAACTGCCGTGGATCAATGGAGTAGTATGCTTGCGTTCTACCTATGGCATCCCGGATACAACCCGCCGGTGAGTTGATAAACTCAAACTGCTGACGCAGCCTTGCGGGGTCTAAACAGCTGACCGGCGCCTCCTGGCTTTGTTTGCTCTGTGCATTACAAAATCCAAAGCGGAATCCCTTGGTTCTGAAGTCTCAAGGCTTTTATCGTCTAAGTCCATTTTGGATTGTTAATCGATATATCACGATCATTACACTTTTTAAATTTGAATGTAAGCTCACGGGAGTTATACCGAGTAGAAACATGAATACACTGAAGTAAAAAAGTTTGCTATCCTCGAAACAATAAATGTCATCACAGTTGCGTGAGATTGGGACAACACTGGGGCTAAGAACAATCCAAGGGCCGCCTATTCTGATGTTCAAAATACCCCTAATATATTGCCGGATTTGTATCAGCGAATATGGGGCTCATAATCATTTTTGCAGTCAACAAAAGTGACCGCGAATTGGATGTTTCACACTGTCTGCTGGAATTATCCCACAGAGTGCGATCAATTATCGATAAAGCGATTAATACAGAAATAAATCGATGGAGCCTCTACAAACAGGCTGCTCACGAATGATGGCGAGAGTTTCAAAGGATGCTACCCGGAACCGATATCCACGAAAAAACTCTCCGGCAGTACATTCCGAGTAGAGATTGCGAGAAAATGCCCGTTATCAAACGAGCCCGGACAGAGGGATTTGTGAAATGAAATAGGTGCTTACATATACATCGAAAATTGTAAAAATGTTAGCTGATACTCGGGTATACAGATGATCATCTGTCAAAATGATCGTATGAGCTCGAAACAAGGAAAAAAAGAGCCACGGAAAGAAGTTCGGCTAGATCGATTGCACAGACAAGGACTCATGTACAAATGAGCACACGAGTTAGGGATTATACAACACGGGAGATTAAAATGAACAGTTCCTTATAATTTCTCCGACATAAACTGCAAGATTTTCAAATGAGCATACATGAATATATACTGATCACATTTAATCCGTCATAAGTATTTGCCTCATTCCGATGAAGTAGGCGCTGCACGTTGTGTTATATGTTGATCTTCCTGATCAGGAACTGTTCGATTTAGGGGCGATTCATCTGCCAACGATTTGTCCGCAGCGGTCTTCAAAGGACCGAACTCGTGCTCCGAGTCGGCCGGTTCATATTCCGTTTCACTGGAATAATTCGACGAGGAAGAAGAGGATTCGAGAATAAACAAATCAGGTAAGTCGGGCAAGCGTTGAAGGTTATCCATTGATGACGAGGTCATGCCTGATGCAACTGCAGTCGTCACTGACGCCGGAGCTGTTTGAGCGCTAGCACTGTCGGATGACGTTCGACGACGAATGCGTCGCAGACGTTTACGCAGACGAGCGTGCGCTCGGCGAATATCACTACGCCAATCCGCATTCCAAAGGCATTTTGCCGCACGCCAACCGATTCGATACGTTTTCATTGCCCAGTATAAATTTAGATAGTCCAAAATCAGTGGTGGAATAACAAAGGCCACAACTAACCAAGGGATCGCCTGTCTTGCGGTAACGAATCCGGGCGTGCTGAGAGACCGATAACTGATCCACCAGAACGGAACAATCATGAAATTTCGGGTGATGGCAAACAGAATGGCGAACATAAGTGTGACTGTGCAAACCCGGCGCCTATCCGGTGTGTAACCGATTGTGCGATAAAACCATCTGAAAATTTGAAGAGGAAAACAATGAAGATAAGTGGTTAGTGCAAGCACAGACAAAGTACCACGAAAAGCGAGTTGGTCGAGTTTTTGAATAAAGGGACTTGTGTAACTGTTAAATTTAAAATTAAGATTACGTAAGACGGATGGCGGCACAATCTGCTCCCACGCCCAGTATCCGATTCCCGACCATCTCCTATCGTCCGTGGACCGGTATCGCACCAGTATTTCATGTGATCCGGAAGCTAATAACTTGGTTTAGGTACAACTCACCACGTCTGGCCTCACCAATTTTGCATGCACGTCTACCCTGGATGACCCGCTTGCTAGCCGTGCTCAGATGATCGCTCTAATCCGACTGGAGAGACTGGTCCTACGCCCATGGGCAATCTATATGATGTTAGTGCTTTGTCCCTTCCCTGTAAATTGTCTTGTGCATGTAAAAACCATAGAATTTTTCAGAGTGGTCGGATTGCACAACTTTCTTTACTCGGTACCTTATTTTGTCATTGGTTGGTCGACTATGACCTGGATATCGAGTTGGCACATAACTGGAGGAGTGTAATGTTTTGCCGTTGTTTTTCATTTGTTCGTTCACCCTAGAGTGTTCTTGTCGTTCGAAATTTGGGAACGTTTTATACTAACCACTGAGCGTCAACCCGATAATGGTTCAGACATTTATTCGTATCCATGGATTAATTACAATCAAGTACCAAACCTCTCACATACCTGGAAAACCCTGTTTCAGCTAAGTTCCCTGTCTACTTTGAGGAACATAATCATTGATTGCCGGACCGGAACCGGTTTGTTCCAAAGGGAAACGATACTCAAAATGAGGTTGTGAAAAAGTGAATCGGTTGTCGAAAGAATTCACATCGTGCGTACGTATGTTTGTGTGCCTCGGTCGGAGCTTCGATTCGCTGATCGGGAAAAAAACATCTATCTGGTGCAGCGACTGAGTGATTCCACGTGCATCGCATAAGACCGAGAGCATTAAATGAGCAATTTTTATTCGCAAGTTGACTGCGATTTAACCATATGGACCGATGTTAATCTGGGAAGTGGACTGACTGCAGTTGGCTTAACGAATCCTGTATGTGGTCATAAAAATCAATAGGGAGCGGGAGGCAGATATGATTGATCGATTAACAATGATGCCTAGGGTGCTTTGAAGTGATGAAGCTGACGACAGCTGGAATCATATGTGAACACAGATTCGGCACATACATGTCCTTATTGACTGCTTATACACTGGAATTGAGACAAGGATGATAGATTAAGCGTCTACATCAGCACGGTCTCGTGTGTCACAAAGATCAAGAAAATCAAACACCTTTGCGAACACACGTACCAGCGCTAAGGTGTATATATCACTTAAAACCTCAACAGCTCTTTGCAAACTGTTTTCTCACACCTTACTGGGCCTAAGTACAGTTATTACGGATTCGTAACAGACTCGACGACATATCCATAATACCGACTGATGAGTGTTGATCAAGTAATGTAACAAAACTATCGGATAATGGCACGGTGCAGAAATCTGTGGCGAATCACTATTATTCAAGAACCGGAAAATCATCATTCCGATTACTTGTAATGTACTTTAAGTTGCTTCTAGATTAACCAAGATGGTAGACACGCGGTCCGATAATGCGATCGCCACCGATTTTTCTCAACGCACAAAAACACACATTAGTTATGGTTACTACTAACATTAACACTACAATCATAGGATGACCTTATTTAAACTGATTTATTTATAATGAAGTGTTTCGAACTGCAATCAATATTTGGTTATTTATAAAAGTACCCTATACATTGATGACTAGGCGACAAAGATAAGCTACCACAAGCGTATAGCCTGATTTTGGGGAAAGTCAGAAACTGTCAATTATTTGCTGCATTCCCTCAACTGCCTGGAGCGATTTGATCGTGTCAATCACTATCATCCTGTTTTATACACGGCAGAAAGATCGAAAAGCGAATTTCATTTTTAAGGAAAATTCGTATGCATTCACTCATTGTTATTCAACCTCGTTTCCGAAGCTTTTTTGTGATGCGTAAAATGAGAAATAATGAGTATGATTGTCGGAAACATAAATACATACGCCTATGAAATTCGCCTAAAAATATCGCAACAAAGTACAGCACATGCCGGACATATCACAAGCGAATAAAATAGACCATGCACAGCAATGGTCCAATGGCATGGATCCGCAATAAAACAGCACAAAGTGGCTCTAAAACATAACACGTGAATCCAATTTTCAACCCTGTGCGACTACAGATTAGCGGTGTCAAGTCACCTGCTACACAATTCTTGAAAATATTAGTTAAACAGCGACCAATCGCATGTCGTTGGCGTGGTGGCCAAGTGGTAAGGTCACCGAGTTGTGACCCGGAAGGCTCCGGGTTCGAGCCGCTCCACCGTCTCCGCTATTCTGCATTTCCCCCAGGCAGCCTTTGTATTGCCACAGCCCCCTTCCTGAAAGTTGACTGTGCCCTTATATATTAAATAAATAAAAAAGGAAGTAAAAGGACGTTTTTTATGTATTGAGTATCCTACGCAGCCATACAACCTGTTGCTCAAATCATGTGCATCAGTTAACCTGTTCGGAAACCTTTTTAAACTAGCTCATGCATCTACTCATTATTCTTGTAACATCAGTCTATATAAATCCGCTATCTTCCGTTTGAATTTGCTCTCAACGTCCTAATCTTTATACTACTCCTTTATCCAAATGGGCAACCAAAACCGGTGCACAGAAGTGCATGGTTATTTTTGTTAAAACTGAACTGAAGACCCCGAAAAAAGTGCAATATGTTACAGCAACATCCGATTCGAGATGTAAAGCAAAAAGGAAAACTGAAAACAAATGTATGTTGACTATGAGGAAGACAATTATGACAATTCCTATGTACGTCTGATATTTCTACTTTTTTCTGCAGTTATTTTATTGATTTTTGTGTCATACTTCCTCGCGAATCATCATCATCGTGCAGCGAAATACAGTGAAGCGAACTCTACTGATCGTTACCAAAGCGAAGGTGAGAAGTGGAATCTTTGATGCGTTGTGGCCATTCACAGCCATGCCACATGGTGAATAAAGATAACAATGAAAACTCAACAGATAAAGCTGGACCGTGTAGTTTATAATTAGGCTGTGAGATGAGTTGACCGAAACAAACCGTGGAAACCTTTCATTGTAGCAGGCAAAACCTATTGCAAGGAATACATGAGCCGGTAATAAAGCCTGACAAAGCTGGCACCGAATTCAAACTGTTTTATCGGCTATACAGTTGTGAGTCGAGACCCATGATAATTGTTGACTACGAGATACTGCCGTCGCTCAAATATCCAAAACAAAGGTTCAGATATGGATGTAGCCGTGTTCAGCTCGCTCAGAGAACCAACCGGATTATTCGAGTGGCACGATGAAGACGGAGGGTTACCTAAACCGGACAGATTGCCGGGTATTCATATCACATTATGCATCAAGATTCCCGTTAGGTCATAAATTCATTGTTTTAAATGAAGACAAAAACCGGTAAAGTCAATGCAATCTTAAGGCGGTTTGCTCAAAGTGAACACCTTTGCTAATCGTTCTGTGTTTTCTTTGATTCTCTTATCAGTCAAGCACTTTGAGCTGGATTAAGGTGAAAAAGTAGATGCAACTTGCGGGAAAAATCATGCTCATTTACCCCAGTTAAATATACCTACATGAAACAGTAAACGTGCGAACTGTGTACACCGATAAGGAGACAAATGCAAACAATGTAAGGGGAATGTGTACGTGTCAATTTCGTGCAGAAGAATGGAACAGATGAACGGGTTGAGAGAGAAAAACAATGCAGCTAACGAATTACCTCTGATTGATAAATGGTGTAGAGAGCTCGGTAGTCAGTCGATACACTCCGAAAAATGTGCAAATCCGATATTGCTGAAATCAGATTGGCGGGATGAAGCAAAAAAAAAACACAGGAGTAACATCTGTTCATGATGATTAAAATAAATTGTTGAGTTTCAGTTTCGAAGAAACAAAAGTGGAAAATTTCCTGCACCTATATTCGTGCTCATTTGCATTAGTTCAATCACAGACTATGAGACAGCAATTACCCATGTGCCCAAGAAACCAAACCAATTCGTGTAAAAATCTAGGGGGAGAATAAAAGCAAGTCTGCTACTCTCAAACGCATTCGTGCTTGCCAATCCGAAACAGAGACAATAGACAGAAGTTCGAACCACAGTGCTACTACTGCAGAACACAAATTTGCTCCTGTATCTAGCAAAATAGCGGCTTCCATTTTTCGAACATCATTTACTTGCATCCACCATATTGAGAATTCTGCATATAGTCTGAATATAGTCCATCGCATTTCCCGTAGCACGGAGAAAACACAATTTCAGCTGTGACACAAGTGACTTCTAAAAATAGACACTGGCTTCGACGATTTCAGTGATACAGTAAGGAGCTGCTCTGAGGTATATTTTCTGAGTGTCACATGACTTTTTCTTAGGTTTAGTTTGAATATCTCTTGTCTTCTCAGTACTCTAAATTGGATGCACATAGCCTAAATATAGTTTAGCAGACTTCTGTAACAACTTTGTCTCAAAAGACATTTATTTTCTTGGAGTGCACATATATATATAGCTCAACGGAAATCGTTAAGGTATCGGGAGAGTGATAAACACGTTGCAGATTGCCAGTGTCGGGGTTTTGTCTTTTGCAATTCGTAATCATCAAGTTATTTTTTCGTTGGATCGTGCAAAATGATAAGTTTGTGTGGCGACTGGAGCGAACCCGGCGAACTTAAGCGAATACACACGTTGATTAAAGTTCAGAGAGACAAATTCCCTTTAGCTGTATTCAGGAGTGACACTTTCATAGGCGGCATCCATAAAAGATTATCAATTACAATCGACAGGACTATTCAAGTATCAA